CGCTCAGCTGTCACTCGAGAGAGAGAGAGAGAGAGAGGGGTGGGGAGAGAAAGAAAGAAAGAAAGAGAAAGAGAAAGAGAGAGGGATAGTGGAGGTGATTGTCGATGCTTGTAGGAAAACGTACCACGCGAATTTTCCGCACACTGCATCGCCGTATTTATTTTTAGTATCAAGTGTGCCATGTCACGTCGTCACAACGCATCGATGGCATTTTTGCAACGTAATTACGCGTCGCGGAGTTTCTGAGAGAATTCGTTGAGAAACGCACACATACGGATTCCGTTGTCGCTCGCAATAATTCTCTCAAGTGATCCATGCGTTAAGAACAGTGTTCGATCAGAGAATCTACGTGCCATTGAGACTCTTCAGCTTGAAATTCGATCAGAATACAATCATGAAAAAGACACGTTCCAGCATCTTTCGTGATATCTATTATCAGCCCTACGATGATTGTACGAGGCTGAAGCTTTACTCTAGCAGCAAAGGTATTCTGTTTGGTTTAATATGCACACTCAGTATAAGCGTGTGATACTCTTTGATGGAGCACATACAATGCTTATGTTTTATTTTATCCTTGGAAATTATGTATCAGTTTTTGTTTATTTCCGGTTTATTATGATAGAATAATTATTTAATTGCCTGATAAATTACAAATTTATGTTTATTGCATGGTAAATTATGGGTTATAGCGTTTCAACAAGTATCAATGATTATTTACTGTTTTGCAGCTAGTTTACAGTTGCTGCAGCGTATGTCATTACTGAAGAGATTAAAGGTTCACAATGGTTGTGTGAACTCTATTTGCTGGAACAGTGGTGGAGAATTGATACTGTCTGGTAGCGACGATCAGCATCTTGTTCTGACTAATGCTCATAATTATGAGGTATATTGATATTTTGTATTATAATAGTCAAGATTAAAGAGATACTCTGCATTTAGCGACTTACATTTAAAATGATTTTATTAATACATAACGATCATTATATGTATATTTTTGGTAAAAGCCCAAATAGCACACATGCTGTGCATATTATAATTTAACAGTCAGAATGTCACCACATAATCAGTAATTGATGCATATTTTTGGTGAAATAATTCTGTCACTACCTTTAACTTGAAATTTATTTATAGATACTGTAAAAGAAAATTGTGCCAAGATTATTTTTGATTTTATCCTTGGAAATCATGCGTCCAGAAAATTATGCTTAATTATGCTCAGTGATCTTTAAGATATTTTCTTACTTCTGAGTTCTAAAAATAAAATATATTTATATTAACTAGTGAACAATTATCATATGTCTCATTGTATAATTTATCTGTAAATTTCTTGATGTATTTGTGTACTTTCTTTATATTTTATTTAATTTTTTTAGACCAAATCTTACAAATAT